AAATGGTCTACAAGTTAGAATGGCATATTGCCTTTCTCCGAATCCTCAGGCAGAGGCCAGGGTTTGGAGCCAAGATTAAAGGCTGGATGAGTCATCTGCCATGGTATGGCAATGCCTCTGTTCTCACGTCTGCGCAATCAAATCTCAAACTGATTTCTCCTTCTCATTTTTTTTCTTCTCTTTTTGGCAAGAGAGAAAATAACTTCAGTATTCTTTTTTAGGAGGATAAAAAAAAAGGAACACCATTCTATTTCCCAAAATTGCATATAGAATTTCAAAGAGTGACCTCTTCCCAGATATAGCAAAACTTATGGTGGCAATGGGAATGTGTCACCTTTTGAAGCATGAAAGCATTAGATCCCCAGGCCTGCCCATTTCTTCATTGTACTTTTGGAGAATGTTAGGATTAGGAGTAAAGGAGTATCAAATATAATACCGTCTTCCCCAGAGAGTAATTAATATTTCTGGCCATGCAGACTGTCACGTGGTGTGTCACAGTGGCAATAAGTGAATGACGAGAAGACAGACTCCAGGGATACTGAGATGTTCAAAGCCTTGCTTTTGTCACAGTTGGCCGATTAAGTCATTTTTAGAATGTGGACTTCTCAGGGGCAGAGGTTTTTTCTTTCATATTAGATATACTCTTTTCCCCACACTGTTCAGTTACATAATAGGATAAGTGCATGTACAAAGTCATGCCTTTTTAGTATAAAACACAGAATCATATCCTTCATTTCTGAAGTTATAGTTATTCATGATATTACTAATTTTGGACACAGCAAATAAGACATTGCCAGAAGTACTTTCCAGGCAGAATAAATATGTAGCTTTCTCTTAGTCGAGTTTGTTAAATATAGCTTTGATCCCCCCACCCTCATGAACTGTATGGTAGTTTTCTTGTAATTTACCACACTATCTTTAAATGTTAGACTCCAGATGATTCTGTATTGTGCAGTTATATTTTCCAGATTTTTCCTGGCTTTGTGGCCTGGCCTGAAATTGTGTACCTCTCTCTCCTTTGACCTGTTCTGCTTGCAGTGTTTCACTTCAGTTCATCAGATAGCACCTGGTTAGGAGGCCTTCTATCATCCATTCCCCACACATCCGCCTGGCCTCTGCACCGCAGAGCTGGCTGCCCTCCAGAGCCTCATCCTGGAAGCAGCTGCCCTCACAGGAAAAGATGAGTTTGGTTCATCTGTGAACATTTTCAAAGAGTTGGACTCAATGTCACAAATAGGTCAAAGCCTCAGTCACATTTAAAGTATGACACAATGGCATCCTTAAAAATATTTAACTTCCCTGGCAGCACTGTGTCATTAGAAGAATAGAAACCTTGACAATAGGCAGATGTATTTTGGAATCTCTGCTTCATTGTCTTTCTATCTATATAATATAAATACTAACCTTTAAACTTCTAAGCACATTACCTGTCACATTAAAGTAGGCTCTTGGAATAAATTTTGGTTCTCTCTAAAAGTCTATCAAATGTTTACCATGAGAAAGGCCAGTTTGGTTCATGGAATACCAGGTGGTACCAAATTATAAAGAAGTGAATGATCAGGGTGCTCAGAGGAGATTTTGGTAAATTCTAAGCTGAAATGCAAGATAGAATAAGAAAAATGCCACACTGGAAATTTAGGGAAATGAGAGTTCAGAGGAGGGATGTATTACCCTTAGTGGGAGTAAAATGAAAAACTTCATGACAGCACTAGCAATTGAAATAAAATGTGAAGAAATCCTTCCCTTTCCTTACATACTAGTGCCTATGATTTGGACTTTGCAGGTGTAGACAAAAAGATATTTTAAGTGATGAGAAATAAGTGAACAAATGAAGTTAATATAGGGCATGTTTGAGAAGTATCTAATAGTCAAAGTTGGCTAGAACAAAGTGCCCATTAAAAGGAAGGTAGGAGATAATTTTGAAAGCTAGATTATGCCATATGTTGGAGGATCTTAGATTTCACCTGCATGATGAGAAGCTAGGCCTATGAAGGAAGAAAGCCCTCACCATCAATCAGGAATCGAAGGCTCTTTTCTGACTCTGCCACTACCTGTAAGGAATGGCAGAGCATCTAGGTTCTATATCTAGGTTCTGGGGTCAAGTCTCAGTTTCCACTTATCAACTCTGTGACATTGAACAAGTTACTTTGCCTTTCTATCTTCAATTTGCTGACTTGTAAAATGAGAGGATTAGACTAGACCATGTCTTTTGAAGTATAAACTTATTTGTTTATAAATTTGGTTGCTAGAAAATAGCAAACGTTTTTCACGAAAACTTGTTTTTCAAAAAGTGGGAATGTTTAAAAGCTTCCAGATGAAATAACTGGAGAATTTTTATTTTCTATGCCAATGCTAAGTACATGGTTTAAAGTGAGAGTTCTAGTACTACTATCCAGGGCAGTCTGAAGGAGAGAAAAATCCAATAAAGACAAAGTTTTTTGAGTTTGGGCCTACTTAAAATGAGAATTTGAAGAAAGGTAGTGACTTATTTTTAAAGAGAGGAGTAATTATGAGAGATATTGCAGCAATAACAATAAAAAGACTTGGAACCTGATTGAATATCAGTTCTAAAGCTAACAAGCATAGAAAGTATTGCTCTTTTTAAAGAAAAACGTACATGTTTTTTATATTGTCATACAAGTGATCTGATTTAGTCATTACTTTTATTTAGTTCTGTATTACTCAGAGAGTTTCAATGCATGTAGTTTCCAGTGATATAGATTAGCACATGTTATTGATCTAATAAATATTTATTGTGGACCTAATATGTGATAGATACTTTTCTAGGCATTGGAGACATAGCAGAGGACTAGGCAGACAAGGCCCTTGTCCTTGTACAGCTTCATTCTACAACTGAAAATGGAAGAGAAAGACAACAAACAAATGAAGAAAACAGTAGCTATAAAAACATGTGATGAGAAAGATGAACAAGATTGATGTGATGGGAATATCTCAGATGCTTGGGAAGACTTCCCTGAGAAGGGCGCATTTGGGTTGAGAGTTGAATGATTGAAGGAGCCAGCAGCATGGAGCAGCAGAGCAAGAACTTTCCAGGCAGAGGGAACACATACAGTGCAAAGGCCCAAGGGTGGAGCTATGCTTTGGTGTGTATCAGGAATTGAAAGAAGCCAGCCTGCCAAGGGCATAATGAGCTTGGGGAAGAGTAGTCAGAGATGAGACGATGAGAATATAGGTGTTAGTTCACAGCACGGTGCCAACTGCAACAGCTCATTTGTAATCTCTTCTCAGCCTTGTTGCAACTTTATAGCCCAAGAAATAACATCCTTCATAGCAGAAATAATAAAACGACATTTACTCCCTTTTTTCATACCAACACTAGGAAAATGTTTAAACTCCCAGTTTTTCAGGGGAATAAATTAGGTCTCAAAGTTGTTCAACTACTTGCTCAAGGTCACACAGCTTGTAAATGGCACAAATGCGACTCAAATCAGGTCTTATGATTCCAGGACCAGAGAAGTTTCCACTTCCCACGGTGTCACTTTCCCTTCTTATGTAATCTTAAAAGAACAAACAGGGAGTTACTGACCTTTTATCAGAAAACTGGCAGGAGAAGCATCTGTAACTGAGGATAGACATTTCAACCAAATAGCAGTGAAAGAGTCCCCTGCTTATGGCTGACAACCTGACACACACTTTCCTGCAGTTGGTTTAGAAGCAGAGAGGTACAAAGGAGTACCTATTGGCAGAGAATGCACAGAGTGATTATGTACTTATTTTCCTTTCTGTGGGAGTCTGATAGCAGCCTTTTGCCTTTATAATGCCATGATTTGATGATTTTCTAACAAAATCAACTAATGTATCTGGGCTGACTGAAATATGCCATAAGATATCGTGGCATTTTAAAGCAAACATGAATTGTGGTAAACAAGCTGGTATTTACTCATGGGCACTCTATTAGCTATTTCTGCACTTTGCCCCTCCATTAAGTTAACTTCCAGGCTGGGGCCATTAAAATCCAGCCTTCCTCCCTCAATTACAGGCACACATTAACTCTAGATATTCTGAGCCTTTCTAATACAGCCATTTCCAGAAAGGATTTCTATTAGTGTCTCCCTCCTTTCTGTTCTTATCCTAAGGCCCCTTAAGCTTCCTGCAACTTTCAGTTCTGAAAATGCCTATCTCAAAGCCAGTTAGGATCTCTGTTTATGATGCAACCCCAAATCCAGGCATCCGTTTAAACGAGTGCCCAGTTAGAGACACATTGTACTTCTCTTCTTTCAGAGAGCAGCATTTGCTTTTTGCTGGGGGCTTTCTGACTGATGCAGGGGGCGAGGAAGGAGAGTTGGCGGGCGTTTGGGAGCAGATTTAGAGCCGCTTCTCATTGGAGGGGCTCGCTTTTCCTGAGCTGCCAGACACTGCAGGCTCAACTGAGGCTCGGAGGTGCAATTCAGGCTGGTGGAGCAGCGGGGGAAGGCAGGGACAGGCGGGGCTAGCGCGGCTCTGCAGCTGATCACACGCACCACCACACACACCACATTCCTGCTGCCCCGGCTTGCGCCTCGCATCTTCCACCCGGGGCCACCGAGGCGCTGACAAGGAGTGGAGGACCAAAGAAGGAAGAGGCAGAGGAAAAGCTGGAGCGGCGCTACTGTTTAACCTGAAAGTCTGACCGGCAACCCGAGGCTCGAACACCGTCCAGCAGCACCGCTGTTGCCTGGAAGGAGGGCACAGCGCCAGGGAACCCACGAGTCCCCCGCTCGAGTCAGTCAGTGCTCTGTGCGCCAAGGATCTTTCTGGCAGGGACAGCGCGGTGCCCTCACGGAGGTGCGGAGCTTGGGGGACCTGCATTGGCGCCCATCGTGGTACACCAGGAAAAGTGGGAACGAGGAAAACAGCCGTGAGCGCAGAGTGCGAGGCCAGGCTGCGGCTACCGCCCGCCGCGCCGCCTCCTGCCCTCTCCCGCTGGGTGAGTGCCCAGGCTTCGCGCACTGCCGTGTCTCTGCTGAGCGCGGGGGCGGCCTGCGGGCCCTTGAGGGTCCGCCTGAGGGCCCCGGTGGCGTCCGCGGAAACTCGGCGGTCGGGGGACGCCAAGCGGACAGGTCACTGGAGTCCAGAACCCGGGAATCTGAGCCCGGAGGGCGTGGGTAGGGGGCGTTGCACCAGTGCCCGGCAGACATGCCTTTGGGCGGGATTTTGGCTAAAAGATAGGAGGCAGGTGCGCAGGGGTGCGGGGAGCGGTCCCAGGGGGCGGGAGATTGGGGAGCGGCGGGGAGGGGGGAGGGTCTGGTCCAGGCAGGTAGAGACAGCTTCTTAGGCAGCCAGCGAGTTGGCAGGTGGGTTGGGACTCCCTTGTCAACTCATTAATTTTAAGCAGTCAGTTTGGGGGCACTGCAGGATAATCAGGAGGGCCGTGGGGAGGCAAAAGGTGACCCGGGATGCCGGTGGTGGGGAAGGAAAAGAGGAGCCTTGGAAAGCTTGGAGGCAAAATTGCGCTTGGGCTCCGGGTCCTTGCATCCCCCCTGCCTTGAGTGCGGGAGAACACTTTTTCAAGACTCACCTTGGAAGGAAAGCCTCCGTCCCAGGGGAGAAGGAGAGGTGTCTGCAGGGGGCAGAGACCGCAGCTACCTGCCGGGTGCGCCCCCCACCCCAGGAGCGCTCGCTTCGCCCCCTTTCCTCCCCCGCCCCCACCTCCTTATTGGTGCTAGTTTGCAGCGCCCAGCTCCTGCGCCTTCGCTTCGCGTTTGAATCTGGCTCGCCCCTTCGTATTATGTCTGCACTCCGAAGGAAATTTGGGGACGATTACCAGGTAGTGACCACATCGTCCAGCGGCTCGGGCTTGCAGCCCCAGGGGCCAGGCCAGGACCCGCAGCAGCAGCTTGTGCCCAAGAAGAAGCGGCAGCGGTTCGTGGACAAGAACGGCCGGTGCAATGTACAGCACGGCAACCTGGGCAGCGAGACGAGCCGCTACCTCTCGGACCTCTTCACCACGCTGGTGGACCTCAAGTGGCGCTGGAACCTCTTCATCTTCATTCTCACCTACACCGTGGCCTGGCTCTTCATGGCGTCCATGTGGTGGGTGATCGCCTACACTCGGGGCGACCTGAACAAAGCCCACGTCGGTAACTACACGCCTTGCGTGGCCAATGTCTATAACTTCCCTTCTGCCTTCCTCTTCTTCATCGAGACCGAGGCCACCATCGGCTATGGCTACCGATACATCACCGACAAGTGCCCCGAGGGCATCATCCTCTTCCTCTTCCAGTCCATCCTGGGCTCCATCGTGGACGCCTTCCTCATCGGCTGCATGTTCATCAAGATGTCCCAGCCCAAGAAGCGCGCCGAGACCCTCATGTTCAGCGAGCACGCGGTGATCTCCATGAGGGACGGAAAACTCACGCTTATGTTCCGGGTGGGCAACCTGCGCAACAGCCACATGGTCTCCGCGCAGATCCGCTGCAAGCTGCTCAAAGTAAGTGCTCCCCGCCCCTTCCCCACCGGGAGACCTGCGTCCCCAAACCCCGGGAGGAACTCGCCTGAGAACCAGCCCGGGCCCCCTCCCCTGGTTCTACCTATAGTCACAGGTAAACTTCCTTTTGGGGGGTGGGGGTTGGAGGATTGGGCAAAGAACGCGGTTGACAGTTCTGTTCTTTTCCCACGCACTGTCGTGCTCTTGTTTATATTCGTCATTTCGGATGTGCTCGATCACTTTCTGGACTAGTAACACTTGAGGACTGGTGTTGGCTCCTGGAGGCTTGAGGGCAATTAGTGCCCGGTTTGCCTTCCTGTATTTGTTGCTTTGCTCTTCAGAGTGATTTTATTTGTTGTCGACACACTGCCCCATTCAATGCGAGGTCCTAGAACTCACCTGAACAGCTGTTATTTTGAATAATTAGGTGCTGAACTTGCCTCAACTTTCACGATGGGCTTTTCTTATTTTTTTCTTTCCTTTTTTTGACCCTAATAATATTAGGAGGCGGATTACTCCTCTACACCCAATGTTTTGAACTCTATCTTTTTAACAAACACACAGACCCAGGAAGCAGATAATAAAGTGGAAGAAACCACACTTGGCTCTTTTAAATTTTTATTTTTACTAAATATTTTCCTAGAGACCTGTTCTATGAAAGCTTGAGTGCTTTTCCCGTAGAGCCTCTTGTTAATTTTATTCTTAATTGTCTGTTTCTATGAAGCCTTTGTCAATTACAGATTTCACTTGAAGCTTTCAGCATCCATTAAAGAAGATTGCTTCCTACCATCAGCGTTGTAAATGCTAAAACAAATTGCACATGGAGTGGTTATTAAAGCAAGGTCCGTCTAGTCGTTAGAGGGCACCACCACAAACAAGAGAAGTCCTTCTTAATCACTCATCCAATTAGAGTATGGGAAGGAAGGCTTAAAGCCCAGTTGCTTGCCTCTGTGTGTGATTTACAATTCATATTCTTCCCCAGAGGTATTTTTCTCAGTAGTTTTCAGATGTTCATAAAGTGAAAAAGATGACCTTAAATAAATGGTTCATACAATGAAAAATGTTTTTCTGAGATTGCATAGAGAACTGAAGCCAGATTCTGAAAATCTGATCTCAGTATTTGAGATTTTGCCTTTTAAATTTTAATTTCCACTCCACAAGTATATATTGTTTTATACAGCCCCAACTTAATGTTGTAGTTAAAAGGGATCCAATGTGCTTTTAAAAGTTTTGCTCTTGTGTCATTTTCATTATTCACTTACAAGATCTTGCCATAATTATCCTTTACCAAGTTGCTCAGTAAAGTGTTTAAATTAAAACAGTTCACTTGTCCTGTGACTTCATATCCTATACATATTTACTGTGTTACTTACAGTAAATAAACTAAATTTTGTATATCATAGTGGATAATTATCAACCTGGTTCTGATGTAAATGTTCATTAAGGTAATTATTAATAAATAATTTGGGTAGATCATATTCATTTATAATTAATTTTAATGAACTGCATACAATTTTTAAAATTTTAAACTTAGTGTATTGTTATTGACCACTGTTTGAACCAAGCAGTTTGTCAGATTAAGCTGAGCAGTTGTGTTGTAGGTATGTTTATTACAATGGAAATTATATGTGTCTGTATCTACCCACAGACCACAATATAGCATTTCTTCCTTTAGGTTAGGCCTACTAGGCAGATAGGAACACTTTGTTATTATAGTGGCAAGGTTTCTGTTCAAGGAATCCATGTTTATGTATCACTTCAAGGCTTACTGAAGAGGAGTTTACCATATTAATTGATGTAATGGAAATTGAAAATTAGATATTAAAAGTTATTTATAGGCATTCTCTAGTTTTTTAAACATAGAAGGTTATTTATTACAGATGTTTGTTCCAGACAACATATTTTTGATGTTTATAGCTGGTTTTATATTTTATTTCAACAAAGCCAGTTATCATTAGGATTAACCTATATATTAGTTTTTGTTTCTTTTTTTAATGCAAAGGTTTTTTTAATGCAATGATTCTGAAGCACCCAGTATCTACACTGGTGCAGGGTACTGATAATGCTTTTTCTGTCTAAAGACATATGCAATATATACCATAAAGAGTGTCCTAATTAAAAAGATGAAAGATTTATAGTGTTGACAAATTTGGAGCAAGGTGCTATATTAACACAAGGTGATAAAAACATCTCATTAAAATTATACATGTAATATTCTTATAAAGCCTTCTACTTTTGATTTGTTCAGAAGATGTCAGTGCTAGAAGTAAACACGATTTGCCTGCGGCATGGATTTATATTTAAACAAAATTATAGTGAAATTCTCCCCTGCTTTTTGTGAGGGGAAAGGGTTGATGAGTGTGTGTAACTCTTCAGCTAGCCAGGTAGTGTAGTTTGTTCAAAGTTCATCTTTCCTGTAGCCATGGTAATGTAAGTGAATTATTGTAGTTCTCACTATTCCTTAGACTTCATTAAAAAGGGGTCATGTCTTATTGGGGAAAAAATAACATTCAGCAAAACTAGAGGGGAGATTTGGCTTTAACAAGTTGCTCTCATTTTCTCTTAGGGACTGAGATGAAGTGACCTAAAAGAGTCAACTGTATTTTTAAAGAGAAACTATGCCAAAATCTTGAAGTAATAATATGTTCCTATCAGTTTTATACAGCCTTCTTCTTATATATTATAAACAATTTCCCCCTTTTAAACTCCATTTGGCAGTTTAAATGCAAAGTTTATGTGTCTTTAATGCCAAATGTGCAGCATTTTTAAGGCAACAAAATCTAATATAATATTTAGTACTAGTAACTATAGGGCATGTATGCTTATCCTATCACCTAATTTAATTTGATTATTTTTTTCTATCATTGTTTTCTTATTTGCTAAATAAAAGTTTCTTTAGATAAATATAAAAGTTCCATTTACTAATTATCAAGCACTTTTTGATTCTTGGGAAGACAATAAGAACATGAACGTAGCTTTCTAATGCTTGTTGTTATGAAATTTTTCATGTGTAATACTTTTAAAATGCCTAACTTTTGATGGAAGTTTTTTGTAAAAATTCTCTGCCTGATTTTTAATTATGTTTTTCATTTATATGAAAGCACTTTTTATTTCATCTCTATTCCTGTCTTCCAGCCTTACAAATACTAAAATTTCTTTCAGTACTCAAATGTAGATCTTTCAACTTTATGCCTGGAGGGGTCAGACCTTATTCTACTCAGAAAAAAAGAAAGTATATTAAATAAAAATCAAAGGCTATACTTTGAAGTTCCTGATTAAAATCTGTGATTGAATTATAAATATAGACAGCTGTTTTAAGATGAATATTCTTTCTTTCTTCCTCTCCTCACCATATTTAATTTTTGCTTGAATTTTCCATTTATTTTAGTTGTCTTCTTTTCATTTTATGCTTTACTCAGAAAATAGGGACTAACTAGTATCATGGCTATGCTAAGTTAATATGTCATCCTGTTGAAAGTTTTTATAAAAATGCCTGGATTAAGACGTTGAGACCAGTTACAGCTACTATGTTGAACCCTATAGTTTAGCGTTGGGTTTAAAGGATTTGGAAGTCTTACTTACTCCTCTCCACCAACCTAATAAGAATGGTTGATTGACCTAAACATACAGCTTGTTAGGGCACTAATTAATTACTATTCTTTGATATACTGTTTAAGAAATTACAAATTTATTATCTCAATGACATCATATATATGGTTATATTCATCCAGTCAGTACACAGTCTTTTACATAAAGTAAACATAAAATAAACTATGATTGTGTTCATATTTTGAAACCAAAAGATAAGGATTAATTTTCTGGAAGCATAATCTTACTTCTTTATAGTTCTATTTATTGCCAATTGTCGTCCTCTTTCTTTCCTAAGAGGTCAGCTGTGCAATCCTTACCTTTCACTTGTCAAAAGTAACAGAGTACATTCCTTTCCTCCATATATATATATATATATATATATATATATATATATGTAAAATACTCCAAATTGGATGTTGTCTTATTTCGCCATATGACTATTATCAAGTGCAGAGAGAATTTAAAAAATGGTTGTCTGAAAGACCATTAAGCTCTTTATCCTCCAACATTTTGCTAATCTAACCACAATGATTCCAGAATCACAGGATTCCTGCAGCTTTCTCATATACTTATTGGTTTGTTTTAATTTCATTTCTTGCACTTAAATGTGATTACGTTTTTGACTCAGTATGATCTTAATTTTATAATTAAGACTCTTCACCAATTGACCGTGGCCAATTTGAACGTTACTTTTAATATTGATATAATTATTTACCTTCCTTTACAAAAATAAAATCCACAAATGAATATCTATATTTTTAAAAAGCCCTGTTCTTCTGACCATCACCTAGACCATTAGTCAAAATGCTCAAGGGGTCTAAGGCAGAGTACCTCAGAATGCTCAGGAGCTAGGTCTTGTATTGGTTTGTGAGTTCTTTATGTAGATTCATTATATGCTTAAAATTAGCACAGCTCCTATTTATTCTAGCATTTCCTTCTCTGACACAAGTATCCTAATTCTCTAATAAGTATAGAACTTGGGTTCTTTTAAAAATATATAATTATCATTCTTTTAAAAATAGTAATATATTTTGGTTTATTTTTTATTTTTTATTTTTAATGTGATTCCTGAAAAGTAAAGGTTGGCTTGTGCTCAGGGAAGAAAAAGTGAACAAAAATCAGGGGCATAAAGACCCACAAATAAACAGCAGTAGGTAAGAACACATGATAAAGAGAGGAGGAAAAAGTATTCGATAGATTGGAGAGTGTTTGGTGAGTAGGAGGAAATGTGCAAGTAGGGTTACAAAGCCTGTCCTCAGTTATTATAAATGCCACAAAAGGCCCTCAAGGAACTAATAAAGCTGCTCTTTCATTTGAATTGTATGCAAGCCTCACATAATCTATTATAAGCTAAGTTACATTGCATTCTATAAGAAATGTTCTTTTTATAAAATCGAACATTTTTTTGTGTT